AAAAAAAAAAAAAAAAAAGATCACCTATGAATAACTAAGATCACATATGAATAACTAGCAACTACTACAGTTATATTTGTAGTTACTTTCTTCTTCATTATTTATGTGGAAATAGACTGAGGCCTTTTGCTCCTGCCTTGGCACTTATGGGATCTCCCTACTACACACCATCACACCTGGCTTTTTTTTTCATTTTTGGTAGAGATGAGGTTTCACCATGTTGGCCAGGCTGGTCTTGAACTCTTGACCTCAAGTGATCCACCTGCCTCAGCCTCCCAAAGTGCTGGGATTACAGGCATGAGCCACCAAGCCCAGCCCTGATTTTTTTGTATTTTTAGAGATGGGGTTTTACCATGTTTGCCAAACTGGTCTTGAACTCCTGGCCTCAAGTGATCTGCCCACCTTGGCCTCCCAAAACGCTGAGATCACAGGCATGAGCCACCATGCCTGGCCAAAAAAAAGTACTGGGACATGAAGTTAAGGGCAGAACACCAATTTGGCTCTTTTGGAGAAAGTGCCAGCCCTGTCTTCCCTGTCTTCTTGACTAGGTTTTCCGTGTATATGAGGGCCAACAGCCAGGGACCTGCAAGGTAAGTCTCTTAGCCCCCTCCCAGTGGTGTTTCCCCAGGCCTGAGTCCATGGGTTTTTAGTCAGTTAATTGATGCATGTTTGGGTGAACATTCTCCACTCCAGGCTTCACTGGAGAGAGGACTAGGTCTTGACCTGGAGACCTTGCAGTAGGGGGTGCAGGGTAAGAGGGAAAGGAACAAAATGATGAGGACAATCCAGTGTCACAGTTGTGTCATGTGCTGAGTTTTGTGGGATATGAACTGGGGAGCCATCAGTCCTTTTTTTTGAGCTGGAGTCTCACTGTGTCGCCCAAGCTGGAGTGCAGTGGCCTGATCTTGGCTCGCTGCAACCTCTGCCTCCTGGATTCAAGTGATTCTCCTAATTCAGTCTCCTGAGTAGCTGGGATTACAGGCGCCTGCCACCACGCCTGGCTAATTTTTGTATTTTTAGTAGAGACAGGGTTTCACCGTGTTAGCTAGACTGGTTTCGAACTCCTGACTTCAAGTGATCTGCCCGCCTCTGCCTCCCAAAGTGCTGGGATTACAGGCGTGAATCTCCACACCCATCCATGGGAGGCAAGGATCAGGAAAGGCTGTTTGGAGGAAGCAGCTGGTAATCTGGGTCCTAGAAATCAATCATTTCTTCAGGTTTGGGAGGGGAATCAGCCGTAGCAATGTTCTTTCGGGTCCCAAGAGTAGTGTGTGAGCAAAGGTGGGGCCCAGTGCAGGCTGCAGTAGTGCTTAAGGAGCTGTGAGCAGCTGCTTTAGCTGGAAAGGTCAGCAGGGCCTCCTGGGTCAGTAGGTGTGAGCCCCAGGCCGCAGACCCATTTTAGATGGAGAGAGGACTCAGATTTGCATTTTTAGGACAATTCGATTCCCTCAGGCAACGTTTTGGAGAGTTGATTGGTGGGGCAGATAATTGAGGCAGGATGAAAGCTCTACAGCATTCCAGGCTAAGCCTGAGCTATCTGTAGAGTCGGGGAAAGGGAAGGAGGGCAAGGAGAGGATTGTCTGCTCCCCCACTACTACAAGGCCTCCCTCCTTCCATTTTTTTTCACAGGGTTTCAAAAGGCCCCAGGTGTCCTCTCCATCCAGTCGGAAAAAGCCCAGCATGGGCCAGCAAGTCCTGGATGATTTCTTTCAACCTCACATCTCCGCTGATGCACCCAGCCTCAACAGTGCAGTCCAGTGACACCTCTGAAAGCCCCCATTCCCTGAGAATCCTGTTGTTAATAAAGTGCTTATTTTTGTAGTTATTTTGTGTTTTATTTTTGAGACGTGAGTCTTGCTATGTTTCCCAGGCCAGTTTTGAACTCAAGTGATTCTCCCACTTCAGCCTCCTAAAGTGTTTGTATTACAGGCATGAGCCACCATGCCTGCCCTTTTGTAGCTATTTTGGAGCCTTCCACCCTCTCCCTAGTCCCCTCACACCTCACATCTGAGGGAGGAACCCAGAAAGTGGTGATGTTGTGCTTGGTCCTGACTTCCTCTGGTTGAACTCCCAGCCAGCCCTGGGCAGTTGGGATGGGTCCGTGTTCTGTCCAGACTGATCCGTCCTCCATCCCCCAGGAGAAAGGCAAGGCAGCTGCAGGGAGCACCTGCCACTGGCTGACACCCAACACCCTCTGTCTAGGTCTCAGGTGTCAGCTCTGATTGGAGCGGTGGCATCACTCTGGAGCAGGTAGCTGAGCTCAACTCTCACCCAGACCTTCCCCACCTGCAGTGGTTGCTCCCTAGGGGGAGAGGAAGCACAGAAGATTTGTTCTGTTTTGAATTCCTACCTCAAGCCGGGCGCGGTGGCTCAAGCCTGTAATCCCAGCACTTTGGGAGGCCGAGGCGGGTGGATCACGAGGTCAAGAGATCGAGACCATCCTGGTCAAC